AGTGTGACCAGCCTTACATAGTGAATAAGATCATTTTTGTGTCAGTCAGAATATTGGCATGTGTACAAGAACCTACCATCGTATTGATAAGAGGTGAATGGAGAGAAAGTGAAAGGTTGTATTTGGATGGAATTAATTCGTAATTGTACCTTCATCATCAGCATAGATGCCAAGTGATAGAGTGCTGCCATAACAGTCAAACAAAGGGATATAAGTATTTCTTTATCATTTATGATTGATTTATTGACTGGGGGGAATAACTCAATCTGAACAAGGGGTTCTGTAAACAGACAAGCTAAAAGGTATTAACAACACAGAGTGGGAAAAGAAAGCATCAATACACCACAGACTTCTAATCACTATGGCTAGAAATATGTCTATCTTCCTCTCATAATGCTATGATTTCATCAAATTCTGTGTGAATGTTTGAAGCATACATTAGTTATCGTTTAGCACATGATAGGGACCATAGCAATGTATACATTTATTTTCACAATATTTATACTGCCCCATATTCACATTGAAAATCTAGAAAAGTTATCACAATCTTGTTTTAGCAGTACTTCATTCGACTGGCATAAAATAAGTATTTAACAAACCTCAAATTCTGTGATCTCAGATTATTCATTCAACACTGTGATGCAGCGGAGAATACTTTGACATAGAGAAGGGGTTAACAGACTGGAGAATGTCTTTCAATATATTAATGCACAAAACAATAATAGCCTATTTGTGAATAATATTTTATTTTCATTTTTCAACTTTCTCATTTGAACATTTATTGCATTTGACCCTGTACTTTATTATGTCTCAAAAACATTTTGTGTAAAGGATCTAATGTATTAAATGTTCTGCATGATGATTGTCTTGCGCACTCAACCACAGCCAATGTTTTAGTCATGTACTGTATCTAATCAGAGGGTTAAAGTTTAACTATTAACCAGTTAACAATCATGTTGTTGATCAAATAACAATCACTTAATAGACCCACACCTCTACTCTGGATGGAGTCTGGATTCCATCACCACTGTAAAATGTACAGTCGTGGTCAAAAGTTTTGAGAATGACACAAGTATTGGTCTTCACAAAGTTTGCTGCTTCAGTGTTTTTAGATATTTTTGTCAGATGTTACTATGGTATACTGAAGTATAATTACAAGCATTCCATAAGTGTCAAAGGCTTTTATTGACAATTACATTAAGTTTATGCAAAGAGTCAATATTTGCAGTGTTGACCCTTCTTTTTCAAGACCTTTTGCCTTATGGCAAGGTGCTCCATCATGCTGGAAAAGGCATTGTTTGTCACCAAACTATTCTTGGATGGTTGGGAGAAGTTGCTCTCGGAGGATGTATTGGTACCATTCTTTATTCATGGCTGTGTTCTTAGGCAAAATTGTGAGTGAGACCACTCCCTTGGCTGAGAAGCAACCCCACACATGAATGGTCTCAGGATGCTTTACTGTTAGCATGACACAGGACTGATGGTAGCGCTCACCTTGTCTTCTCCGGACAAGCTTTTTTCCGGATGCCCCAAACAATCGTAAAGGGGATTCATCAGAGAAAATGACTTTACCCCAGTCCTCAGCAGTCCAATTGTCACGATCGTCGATAGATGAAGCGGACCAAGGTGCAGCGTGATATGCGTACATTTTATTTAAGTACACACATGAACAAAAACAACAAACCAAATGATACGTGAAGTCCTAGGTTAACACCAAAACAAACCTTACGGAACAAGATCCCACAATGACTAGTGAAAACAGGCTGCCTAAGTATGGGTCCCAATCAGAGACAACGAGCAACAGCTGTCTCTGATTGGGAACCACCCTGGCCAACATAGAAATACACGATCTAGAACGAAAAACCTAGAAAACCAAACAAGGAAAAATCCACAACCTGGCTCAACATTTAAGAGTCCCCAGAGCCAGGGCGTGACACCAATCCCTGTACCTTTTGCAGAATATCAGTCTGTCCCTGATGTTTTTCCTGGAGAGAAGTGGCTTCTTCGCTGCCCTTCTTGAAATCAGGCCATCCTCCAAAAGTCTTCGCCTCACTGTGCGTGCAGATGCACTCACACCTGCCTGCTGCCATTCCTGAGCAAGCTCTGCACTGGTGGTGCCCCGATCCCGCAGCTGAATCAACTTTAGGAGACGGTCCTGGCGCTTGCTGGACTTTCTTGGGTGCCCTGAAGCCATCTTCATAACAATTCATCCTCTCTTCTTGAAGTTCTTGATGATCCTATACATGGTTGATTTAGGTGCAATCTTACTAGCAGCAATATCCTTGCCTGTGAAGGCCCTTTTTGTGCAAAGCAATGATGACGGCAAGTGTTTCCTTGCAGGTAACCATGGTTAACAGAGAAAGAACAATGATTTCAAGCACCACCCTCCTTTTAAAGCTTCCAGTCTGTTATTCTAACTCAATCAGCATGACAGAGTGATCTCCAGCCTTGTCCTCGTCAACACTCTCACCTGTGTTAACGGGAGAATCACTGACATGATGTCAGCTGGTCCTTTTGTGGCAGGGTTGAAATACAGTGGAAATGTTTTTGGGGGATTAAGTTCATTTTCTTGGCAAAGAGGGACTTTGCAATTAATTGCAATTCATCTGATCACTCTTCATAACATTCTGGAGTATATGCAAATTGCCATCATAAAAACTGAGACAGCAGACTTTGTGAAAATTAATATTTGTGTCATTCTCAAAACGTTTGACCACGACTGTACTGCATTGGTAGGCCTATTGTAAAATGGATGAGTTACAACTAGCCGGTCAGTTTGATAAACCTTTCAAGTATGTCATTTACATATTGTGTTTGAAAGAGATTTTGTTCCATCACAACAAACACAACAGGTGTAATAACCATATTTAAAGTAGCTTTTACTGTTGCTACAATGCAGGAAGAACTGTTTTATCATTAAATCAGAAATATAATGTTTAAGAAAATTATTATTGTGTATTAAATAATGACCAAGCTTGGCATTAAAGGGCTCTTTTGTTCTTTACAGTATAATTTGAATAAAATTCCTTTATAATATTTTGCCATTTCAGGTCACAGCACGGGTTTGTGGTGGAGGCCGTGAGACCAGATGATACGTTAATGTCAGTCCTTATCAGTAGAATATTATTACTGCTATCATGTCTTTAAAACACTCATCTGTATTAATGGTTATGTCCAATGTATATCAGTGGAGGTTGCTGAGGGGAGGACGGCTCAAAATATTTTCTGGAATGGAGTAAATGGAATGGTATCAAACACACTCCATTCCAGCCATTATTAAGCCGTCCTCCCCTCAGCAGCCTCCACTGATGTATATTAGGACATAACCAGTTTATTAGGTACACCCATCTAGTACCGGGTTGGACCCCCTTTGCCTCCAGAACAGCCTGAATTCTTCGGGGCAATCTACAAGGTGTCGGAAACGTTCCACAGGGATGTTGGTCCATGCTGACGTGATTGCATTGGACGACGGTACATTCATGCTGCGAACAGACCGTTCCATCTCATCCCAAAGATGCTCTATTGGGTTGAGGTCTGGGGACTGCGCAGGCCACTCAAGTAAACTGAACTCACTGTCATGTTCCAGGCGATGTTTTTCAACTCCTCAATTGTCCTGTGTTGGTGATTGAGTGCCCACTGGAGCCGCTTCTTCTTGTTTTTAGCTGATAGGAGTGGAGCCCGATGTGGTCATCTGCTGCAATATCCCATCTGTGAGAAGGATCGATGAGTTGTGCGTTCCGAGATGCCGTTCTGCACACCACTGTTGTACTGCGCCGTTATTTGTCTGTTTGTAGCCCGCCTGTTAGCCTGCACGATTCTTGCCATTCTCCTTCGACCTCTCTCATCAACGAGCTGTTTTCGCCCACAGGACTGCCGCTGACTGGATGTTCTTTGTTTGTCGCACCATTCTCGGAAAACCCTAGACACTGTCGTGCATGAAAAGCCCAGGAGGCCGGTCGTTTCTGAGATACTGGATCTGGCACGCCTGGCACCGACGATAATACCACGCTCAAAGTCACTTAGGTCACCCGTTTTGCCCATTCTAACATTCAATCAAACAGTAACTGAATGCCTTGATGCCTGTCTGCCTGTCTGCCTGCTTTATATAACAAGCCATGGCCACGTGACTCACTGTCTGTAGGAGCGATCCATTTTCGTGAACGGGGACGGGGTGGTGTACCTAATAAAGATCATGCGTTCTAGGCTACTGTTGATGCCAGCAATAAAGTCTCTTAGATGAAGTCTGAAGTGGTGGTGGCATCTAGGAAACTGTTTTCCCCCCTCTGTATTACTGAGGTTAAACTAACCTCTGGTGACACTAATGTCAGTTATTTAGAATGTAACATTGTAATTCAGTCACTACAAATAATTAAAATATGTTTTTTCTCATTGTCTACCTTGCTGTAAAGCTATCAAAAACAACGTCACTGGAGCGGATAATTCACAAAATGAGAATATATTTCACCTACGGAAGGTTCAATCTGCAGTTGAGAGCTTGAGAAATGTAACCACTGACCATCCATGATATCAAAATTAAAGTTTTAACCATGTTTTGAGGCTACACCGTTTTTGTTTATAATCAAGGGAGTAAAACAAGTTTATCTTTTGGAATATGATGGGGTACGACAGTTGAACTAACCTCATGAGATATTTAAGAATCAATGGGTATATATCATTCATTTAAAAGTAAAAAAAATGGATGTACCAAGAGATTGCCCCTTTAAATGAAACTGCAAGGTGTGTGTGTGTGTGTTCTCATTCATGTTTCTGTCTGTGTCCTCTGCTGCCAGAGGAGATCCAGCTGTATGAGTTGCTACAGGAAGCAAGAGTTTGGTCCAATGAATCTGTTCAGATGGATGGCCATGATGGCATCCACCAGAGAAAGGCTTTCGTAGACTTTTAGATACCCCAGGGCCAGAACAATGGATGCCCATGGCACAGTGGACAAACACCTTGCCTTCAGAACACACAGAGCATTATACCTGCAGAACCATTTTGTTTCAGGGTGTGTGTGTGTGTGCATCTTGCTTCAGGGCGGTATTAATGAAGTCTGCGGTGGGGTTGAAGTGAGGTTGAAGGTTAAACTCTGGATCATCTGGAGGCCCCACACCATAGTACTCCACCGGCAGGTCGCTATAGTAACCTGGGCCAGTGCTGATCCGGTGACAGCCGTCCACCGAGTTTACGATGTGGGTGATACACAGAGATGACAGCAGGGCTTTATCACGAGCCACAGCCCTGCATATTACATACTGTTCTATAAACTATAATTATACACACACACACACACACACACACACACACACACACACACACAACATACTCACTCATCTCAGATGCTGCCTATTAATCCAGAAGATCAGCCGCATCTCTGACAGATGGAGTGTGTTCTCTTGGTGGGCTGACCACTGCAGGGACAGAGACCAGTGTGTGTGTCAGACTTCCGTCAAATACATGTCAAATATTTTATTTGAGGTGGTCTTGATTTAGCCTGAAGTTTGCACTTTTGGGACTAGTCCATTAGTTCAGTTGTACCTGGCAAACTAAATCAAGTGCTGCTCAAGTATTGGAAAGCACAGTTTTTGACATTGCATGTGTGTTTACAGTTTGTCTGCCTGCTGTCATCTGGTCCTCTCCTTGGCCAAGCTGAGGTCCAGCTGCAGGAGGAAGCCGGTGTTGGGGCAGATGTTTCTCTGTGGCCTGACTGCAGCCACAGCCTCCTGCAGCGTCAGACCCTCAACGATCATCAGGAAGGCCAGAACCAGTGCCGCTGACCGACTCACACCGATCAGACAGTGAACAAACACCCTCCCTACAGGACACATGGAGGGAGACACTTTATGTCTGCAAAACAGCACTGAACTCCGCAAAAATACCTTCCTATACGCTGTTAGGCCTGTTTTACTGTACCCAACCCACTACACCTCTCTGTGTCTCACCTCCCTTGGCCAGGGCAGCTCTGATGTAATGGGCCATAGGGTAGAACAATGGACTCAGAACAAACTCTGTAGCATCCTCAGCCTCCACCCCATAATAATCCACAGACATGTCTCTATAGAAATGTGGGCCAGTGTCGACATGGAAACAGGGTCCTGGGCTGGGGATTGGGGGGCCGTGGGCAGCGTTCACTATATGTGTGATCCCCAGGCTGTGCAGAATGGCCTTGTCAGGAGCTGTCTCCCTGAAATACAAAGACAAATATATACATAAACACTGCCACAAGCCACAAATATTTATTATTAATTATTAGTATAAATTATTAATTAATTAATTCAGCCAGGAAAGTCCACTCATGTAGATTTGTGTGTGTGTGTGTGTGTGTGTGTGTGTGTGTGTGTGTGTGTGTGTGTGTGTATCTACTGGTTGCCTATGTAGAGTTTGGGCCAGACTTGGTTGAGGTGGCTGGTGGGCCGTCGGTCGGCTAACAGGAACTCCAGCAGCTTAGAGACAGATGGAGGTTCATAGCACCGCTCCTTTAGAGACATACTGACACAGTCTGGAGAGGAGGTGTGTGTTACAGTGACAGCTAAACCTAAGCAGAGCAGAAAACAGTCTGGTCAGGTCAACAATCTCAAACAAAACCTCTTCCCCATCTGATCCAAGTCAACTTACCTTTAACAGGCAGCACAGTCCCTCCTTTTGCCGTGTCTGCTCCTCTTCACACACACACACACACGCACACACACACACACACACACCTGCAGTTTGTTTCCATTTTTAACCTTCAGTAATTCTATACCTCCTCACCAGTGACGAAAGCATCCTCCAGAATTTACTGGACAGCTAACACTATTCATAATGTAGAGGATTTATAGTTCCTAATATAGTGGTAGTAGACGTCTGAAAGTAATATAATAGACACCAATCTGAAAAAACAATCACCTTTTTAATTGTGTAATCTTATTATTAATGTTTCAACTGATAGGTTCCCAGGAGACAATGCTCAGCTGCACAACTCACAGCAGGCTCAACTATCTCCACTGGCTAGCACAGGAATGTTGAAAAGTTCAAATTATTTTAATATTTTAGATTTTACATGACAGTGAGCATTGACATTCTCTCCAGGGAATACTGCATGACATGATAATATTCAGTACAGTATTTATAACATGCTGTGATTTAGGACCAGATTGTGCCTATTTTAAAGTCCTACAACTACATATTTTCAATCAGTATTTACAAAGGATTGTGTGCAAGATGGATAGATGGATAAGAGGAGAGAGGGATAAGGTGAGAGGAGAGAGGGATGAGAGGAGAGAGGGATGAGAGAAGGACTGTCAAAGAAGACAGTCCTTCTCTTGCGTGTGAGCTGTGTGTTGAGGGGTGAGCAGTAGTGACAGGAAGTGTCTGTTGGAGTAGATGGCTCGTCGTTGGCTCACATGTTTGAGCGTGTTGCGGAGCAGGAGACAACAACACCAGTGTGGAACGCCAGCACCAGCGTGGCCGAACAACTTATACCCATGATGCAATGCACCAACACCTACCCTGGAGAGGATAGAGAGAGAGGGAGGGAATGAAGGGAAAGGCAGAGTTTGATGAAGGAACTCAACTGTCTCCAAGGACAGTCTTAAATAAACCGTAAAGAAGTAAACATATTCAGTAATGTAAACACAGTACATAAACACATACAGTACATAAACAAAGTAAACATATACAGTAAATACAAACACATACAGTCAACACATGCATTAAACTGCCCTTACCATCTTTAGTCTTCAGGGCCTTATGTATGAAGTCAGCTGCAGCTTTAAAGTACTGGCTGAGGTCAAAATGGGAAAGGTCTTCTGCAGGGAAGCCATAGTACACAGGTGTTTTCATAGTAATCCTGGTCACCAAAGCTGCCCTGCTTGGAGTGAGCTGCGTTCAGGACGTGTGTGATACCAAGCTTCTTTAATGCACCTCTGTTCTAGCGCACCTTTTTTCCATGGCAAAAATGAAAACACAAAGCAGAATTCACTATTTGGTCCTTTAAAAACCTGCTGTATGCAAAATATTGTGTGCTATAGCTTGGAAAATAAATAAACGTGACTCTGGATGACAACATAATTATATTTTTTTCCAACATTAGGGCTGTTTTCCTAAAGAAGTTAAATCTGCTTCGTGTTTCGTTTCCTTGCCACGATATCAACGAGTATCGCGATACTGGTATCGTCCCAGCCCTACTCTGTTCTGGCCTATGGCCATAAGGGAAAGACTGTCACGCCCTGGCTCTGGGACTCTGTTATGTTGAGCCAGGGTGTGTAGTTTCTATGTGTTTGTGTTCTAGGTTCTTTATCTAGCTCATGTGTTTCTGTGTTGGCCGGGGTGGTTCTCAATCAGAGGCAACGAGTGTCAGCTGTTGCTTGTTGTCTCTGATTGGGAACCATACTTAGGCAGCCTGTTTTCCACAGTGTTTTGTGGGATCTTGTTCCGTGTTGTAAACCAAGGACTTCACGTATCGTTTGTTGTTTTGTTCGTGTGGGTGAATATAAATAAAAGTATGTTCGCATATCACACTGCGCCTTGGTCCACTGTGTTTGACGATCGTGACAGAAGATCCCACCAATACTGGACCAAGCAGCGTGTCCAGGAGTACATGCCGGAGGTAACTTTAGCGGATGTCCACCTCGACTGGGTCAAGCAGCGTGAGGAGGAGATAGGTTGGACTTGGGAGCAGAGGATGGAGAGTCTGGCGAGAGCCATGGAGGCCATATCCACGGGGGAGAGACAAGCCCAAGACATTTTTAGGGGGGGGCTCACACCGTGGACGATGGGGCTGCTGGAGGCAGATAAGGGGCGAGTTAGTGGACGAGGAGAGAAGGCCACCGGGTTACGGGAGCCATTGGCGAGTAGAGGGAAGGAAAATGTAGAGGCACGGCGAGAGGTACTGAGGTGTGTTGCCAGTCCGGTCCGGCCCGTTCCTGATCCCCGGGTAAGGCCAGTGGTGTGTGTTCCCAGTGCGGTCCGGCCTGTTCCTGTCCCTCGCACCAAGCCTGTGATGCGCGTCGCCAGCCCGGTCCGGCCTGTTCCTGCCCCCCGCACCAAGCCTGTGGTGCGCATCGTCAGCCCGGTCCGGCCCGTTCCTGCTCCCCGCACCAAGCCTGTGGTGCGCATCGTCAGCCTGGTCCGGCCCGTTCCTGCTCCCCGCACCAAGCCTATGGTGTGTGGCGCCAGCCCGGTCCGGCCTGTTCCTGCTCCCCGCACCAAGCCAATGGTGCGCGTCGCCAGCCCGGTCCGGCTCAGTCCTGCTCCCCGCACCAAGCCTGTGGTGTGCGTCGTCAGCCCGGTCCGCCTCAGTCCTGCTCCCCGCACCAAGCCTGTGGTGCGCATCGTCAGCCCGGTCCGGCCCGTTCCTGCTCCCCGCACCAAGCCAGGGGTGCGCGTCGACAGCCCGGTCCGGCTCAGTCCTGCTCCCCGCACCAAGCCTGTGGTGCGCATCGTCAGCCCGGTCTGGCCCGTTCCTGCTCCCCGCACCAAGCCAGGGGTGCGCGTCGTCAGCCTGGTCCGGCCCGTTCCTGCTCTCCGCACCAAGCCTGTGGTGCGCGTCGTCAGTCCGGCACAGCCCGTGCCTGGGTCACCGGTGCCTGGTCAGGTACCGGTCAGCTGCTCCACGTCGGAGCCTAAGCAATCCGCTCCACCGATGTCCAGTCCAGCTCCAGCCAGCGGGGCCAGACCGGACCAGGGGCGCTACGGGGGGATTGTTGGAGGGTGGTGGTCAAGCCCGGAGCCGGAACAGTCTCCGAGGAGGAATGCCCACCCGGCCCTCCCCTGTTCGGTTTATGTTTGGCGCGGTCGCAGTCCGCGCCTTTGGGGGGGGGGTACTGTCACACCCTGGCTCTGGGACTCTGTTATGTTGAGCCAGGGTGTGTAGTTTATATGTGTTTGTGTTCTAGGTTCTTTATCTAGCTCATGTGTTTCTGTGTTGGCCGGGGTGGTTCTCAATCAGAGGCAACGAGTGTCAGCTGTTGCTTGTTGTCTCTGATTGGGAACCATACTTAGGCAGCCTGTTTTCCACAGTGTTTTGTGGGATCTTGTTTTGTGTTGTAAACCAAGGACTTCACGTATCGTTTGTTGTTTTGTTCGTGTGGGTGAATATAAATAAAAGTATGTTCGCATATCACGCTGCGCCTTGGTCCACTGTGTTTGACGATTGTGACAAAGACAGAGGATAACAGAGATGGGGGGAGAAATGTGAAATGTGAGATTGCACAATTGTTTGAACAGAAATAACCTGCAGAGAACTGAATAATCAGTGAACAGCCTGGAATAATATGGACAACATTTAGGCAATAAATTAATGCTGTAGTTTTAAAGCGCAATGTTCAGTAATTCCATATTCGGTAGTGTTCAATAGGGCAATAGAGTCCACTATAGGAACCTAACCTCCCGCCCCTGACCCCTGACCCCTACCCTCTACCTTTTATCTCTTACTCATACTTCTTTACAACCAAAAGGATTTAATCTAGTCTATCAGAGGGCAAGTATTATCACTATTACCGTATTTCTAAAAACCCATCCAAAACCCATCCAACCCAGTGGTAGGGGTAAGGGAATGTGTAAAAATAAACACACACAAACGTACATATTTCCGATGTAGAGATTAGGCCAGACCTCATTTAGTGGTGTCAGTTCAATCTTGCAGGACTCCAGGATCGACTCAAGTTCTTTAATAGCTACCAGGACTTGCTGCTCTCCCTTTGACATTCTCCCTACACAGTAGCACCATTCTGACTGACTCAACTACCAGAGTTGGGGAGTAACAATAATCAGTGTAACAATAGTATTGTTATGTGTTACAGTGGGGACACTAATGTGTGCAACACTCGTTCCAACCATGCTACTGCAGTGACCAGCACGCCTGTATTGATGCTGAGATGTTGACCGTTAATAAACAATGTTGAGGAAGCTACTCTGAAAATAGTTTACCAAGCTACCAATTACTTCACACTGGAAGAAGTTAAGCTACACTAAAGGTACCCTACAGTTTACTTAACTAAAGTTTCTTAGGATTTGTTTTCACTACTTCCAAATTACTTTGTGAAAAAATCTAATATCTGAATCTGAAATGTTATAGACTACAAATTACAAGAACAGATCACTCTGTAGTCAGATGTTAACAGAATGTGTGATTTAGCCTATTAAACACAAAAAGTGAGAATTAGGTACACAAAAAGGGTTTTATGTGAGAATTAGGCAGATCTCAGGGACAGATTGAATGTACTGGGGGGAGGGGCTGGTCCAACACAAGGTGTCATAAAAAAAGATGCACCCCCCTCCTCAAAGTTACAAATATTTTCAAATGACCCTCCCCTTGTACTGTAAAATAAATTAAACACCACCCCCCCATAGAATTAACTCAAAATAATGTTTACAACAACAAATAACAATAACTGTAGTGACCCTGTGTTTTTAAACGTGGATATCGACTTTGCCACTTCAGCTTGCTTTTGTAGCACAGTCGATGCCACGCAGGGCTACGGGCCAGAAGGTTCACCGACCACCACAGATGAGCTCACTCTCCCTGCCTGTTTCATTACACTATGATCAGAGCCAGTTGCAGACAATGATCAGCTAGGGGGAAATCTGATTTTCTAAATTTTGATGCCATATTTATAATTATATAAAATAGATGTAACAAATTTTCCACCAACAGGTTTCTGTGCCGATGCACAACACAACCAATAAACAAAGCATACCGACTTCGGGCACTTCCATATCATGGTTAGCGTTCTCAACACCACAATAAATGTCAATCTCAACAAACAGAAAAAACATCCCTCACTACCTTGTAGGCTTACCCAGTATCGAAGGCTTGATAATCTACGAATGTCATTCAATTGATTGATTGATTAATTTTATTTGTCAGTAAAAACAACTACGTATATATATATTTTTAAAAAATTAAGTGACCGGGAATGCACAATAAAGTCGGAGACTTATTTCCATTGTGGTCCCAATGACATAGATACAGACACATTACAGAGATAGAGATGAAAAAAAGCTCAACCTCCAGATGAGTATGAGGGGGGAGTTTAAGTACAAATCTTGTTTGGCTGGTAGCTTATTCTTTATATGTTTGGGGCTGCTGGTGAACCATGATGCGCAGGCATAATCAAAGTGACACTGGACTAGCGCACTTGCCAACGTCTTTAGGGTGTCTATAGCTAGGTTTCCATCCAATTGATGACAGATTTTCATTTGAAAATTCAAAAATCTTCATAAAAACAATATGCCATTTCAGAGTTTCCTTTAGGAAAATTTGGCTCCGGACAACATGACAGGGAAGGTTTTAATTTACCGGACATTTGAGAAATGTAATGGACATCCATATGCATTCAGATCCAACCTGGCGAAGCCAGCGCCATCAATACACGTGGGATGTTGGCCAAATGAGCTACATTTACACTACCGTTCAAAAGTTTAGGGTCACTTAGAAATGTCCTTGTTTTCCATGAAAACATACAGTGGGGAAAAAAAGTATTTAGTCAGCCACCAATTGTGCAAGTTCTCCCACTTAAAAAGACGAGAGAGGCCTGTAATTTTCATTGTAGGTACATGTCAACTATGACAGACAAATTGAGGAAAACAAATCCAGAAAATCACATTGTAGGATTTTTTATGAATTTATTTGCAAATTATGGTGGAAAATAAGTATTTGGTCACCTACAAACAAGCAAGATTTCTGGCTCTCACAGACCTGTAACTTCTTCTTTAAGAGGCTCCTCTGTCCTCCACTCGTTACCTGTATTAATGGCACCTGTTTGAACTTGTTATCAGTATAAAAGACACCTGTCCACAACCTCAAACAGTCACACTCCAAACTCCACTATGGCCAAGACCAAAGAGCTGTCAAAGGACACCAGAAACAAAATTGTAGACCTGCACCAGGCTGGGAAGACTGAATCTACATACAAGACCACTGATAATCTCCCTCGATCTGGGGCTCCACGCAAGATCTCACCCCGTGGGGTCAAAATTATCACAAGAACGGTGAGCAAAAATCCCAGAACCACACGGGGGGACCTAGTGAATGACCTGCAGAGAGCTGGGACCAAAGTAACAAAGCCTACCATCAGTAACACACTACGCCGCCAGGGACTCAAATCCTGCAGTGCCAGACGTGTCCCCCTGCTTAAGCCAGTACATGTCCAGGCCCGTCTGAAGTTTGGATGATCCAGAAGAGGATTGGGAGAATGTCATATGGTCAGATGAAACCAAAATAGAACTTTTTGGTAAAAACTCAACTCGTCGTGTTTGGAGGACAAAGAATGCTGAGTTGCATCCAAAGAACACCATACCTACTGTGAAGCATGGGGGTGGAAACATCATGCTTTGGGGCTGTTTTTCTGCAAAGGGACCAGGACGACTGATCCGTGTAAAGGAAAGAATGAATGGGGCCATGTATCGTGAGATTTTGAGTGAAAACCTCCTTCCATCAGCAAGGGCATTGAAGATGAAACGTGGCTGGGTCTTTCAGCATGACAATGATCCCAAACACACCGCCCGGTCAATGAAGGAGTGGCTTCGTAAGAAGTATTTCAAGGTCCTGGAGTGGCCTAGCCAGTCTCCAGATCTCAACCCCATAGAAAATCTTTGGAGGGAGTTGAAAGTCCGTGTTGCCCAGCGACAGCCCCAAAACATCACTGCTCTAGAGGAGATCTGCATGGAGGAATGGGCCAAAATACCAGCAACAGTGTGTGAAAACCTTGTGAAGACTTACAGAAAACGTTTTACCTGTGTCATTGCCAACAAAGGGTATATAACAAAGTATTGAGAAACTTTTGTTATTGACCAAATACTTATTTTCCACCATAATTTGCAAATAAATTCATTAAAAAGCCTACAATGTGATTTTCTGGATTTTTTTCCCTCATTTTGTCTGTCATAGTTGACGTGTACCTATGATGAAAATTACAGGCCTCTCTCATCTTTTTAAGTGGGAGAACTTGCACAATTGGTGGCTGACTAAATATTTTCTTTCCCCACTGTACATAAAATGAGTTTGAATAGGAAATATAGCAATATGAATAGGAAATGAAGTCATTGACAAGGTTAGAAATAATGATTTTAAAATGAAATAATAATTGTGTCCTTCAAACTTTGCTTTCGTCAAAGAATCCTCCATTTGCAGCAATTACAGCCTTGCAGACCTTTGGCATTCTAGTTGTCAGTTTGTTGAGGTAATCTGAAGAGATTTCACCCCATGCTTCCTGAAGCACCTCCCACAAGTTGGATTGGCTTGATGGGCACTTCTTACGTACCATACGGTCAAGCAGCTCCCACTACAGCTAAATAGGGTTGAGATCCGGTGACTGTGCTGGCCACTCCATCAGACAGAATACCAGCTGACTGCTCCTTCCCTAAATAGTTATTGCATAGTTTGGAGCTGTGCTTTGGGTCATTGTCCTGTTGTAGGACGAAATTGGCTCCAATCAAGCACCGTCCACAGGGTATGGCATGGCGTTGCAAAATGGAGTGATAGCCTTCCTTCTTCAAGATCCCTTTTACCCTGTACAAATCTCCCACTTTACCACCACCAAAGTACCTGTGCTAACATAATTGCAAAAGGGTTTTCTAATGATCAATTAGCCTTTTAAATGATAAACTTGGATTAGCAAACACAACGTGCCATTGGAACACAGGACTGATGGTTGCTGATAATGGGTCTCTGTACGCCTATGTAGATATTTCATAAAAAATCCGCCGTTTCCAGCTACAATAGCCATTTACAACATCAACAACGTCTACACTGTATTTCTGATCAATTTGATGTTATTTTAATGGACAAAAAAAATGCTTTTCTTTTGAAAACAAGGACATTTCTAAGTGACCCCAAACTTTTGAACGGTAGTGTACGTGTCCTTAAAAACAGACTATAACAAATTACAAAAACACTATTCTTTGTGTTTCGATGTGTAGCATATGCAAATCTTCATAGCCTTTTTCTTTTTTTTTGTTGGCTACTTTCCTAAAACAATAAATGTCCAACTCACGGTTCAACTGTCTGAGATTTGAGCACTAAATGTATCAGGGTATTGCATGCAAAGGCCTACAGGCTTAGGTGTCCACTGTATGATATTCATATTTTAATACAAATATACAGTGCATTCGGAAAGTATTCAGACCCCTTTACTTTTTCCACATTTTGTTACATTACAGCCTTATACTAAAATAACACACAATACCCCATAATCAACACACAATACCCCATAATGACAAAGAAAACATTTGTGAAAATATGTTACAAATAAAAAACTTAAATATGACATTTACATAAGTATTCAGACCCTTTACTCAGTACTTTGATGAAGCACCTTTGGCAGAGATTACAGCCTCGAGTCATCTTGGGTATGACCTTACAAGCTTGGCACACCTGTATTTGGGGAGTTTCTCCCATTCTTCTCTGCAGATCCTCTCAAGCTCTGTCAGGTTGGATGGGGAGCGTTGCTGCACAGCTATTTTCAGGTCTCTCCAGAGATGTTAGATCGGGTTCAAGTCTGGGCTCTGGCTGGGCCACTCAAGGACATTCAGAGACTTGTCCCGAAGCCACTCCTGCATTGTCTTGGCTGTGTGCTTAGGGTCGTTGTCCTATTGGAAGGTGAACCTTCGCCCCAGTATGAGGTCCTGAATGCTCTGGAGTGGGTTTTCATCAAGGATCTCTCTGCACTTTGCTCCGTTAATCTTTCCCTCTATCCTGACTACTCTCCCAGTTCCTGCCGCTGAAAGACATCCCCAAAGCATGATGCTGCCACCACCATGCTTTACCGTAGGGATGGTGCCAGGTTTCCTCCAGACGTGACACTTGGCATTCAGGCCAAAGAGTTCAATCTTGGTTTCATCAGACCAGAGAATCTTGTTTCTCATGGTCTGAAAGTCCTTTAGGTGCCTTTTGGCAAACTCGAAGCGGGCTGTCATGTGCCTTTTACTGAGGAGTGGCTTCCGTCTGGCCAGTCTACCATAAAGTCCTAATTGGTGGAGTACCGCAGAGATGGTTGTCCTTCTGGAAGGTTCTCCCATCTCCACAGAGGAACTCTGGAGCTCTGTCAGAGTGACCATCGGGTTCTTGGTCACCTCCCTGTCCAAGGCCCTTCTCCCCTGATTGCTCAGTTTGGCCGGGAGGCCAGCTCTAGGAAGAGTCTTGGTGTTTCCAAACTTCTTCCATTTAAGAATGATGGAATGATGGAGGCCACTGTGTTCTAGGGGACCTTCAATGCTGCAGAAATGTTTTGGTACCCTTCCCCAGATCTGTGCCTCGACACAATCCTGTCTCGGAGTTCTACGGACAATTCCTTCGACCTCATGGCTTGGTTTTTGCTCTGACACGCGCTGTCAACTGTGCGACCTTATATAGACAGGTGTGTGCCTTTCCAAATCATGTCCAATCAATTGAATTTACCGAAGGTGGACTCCAATCAAGTTGTAGAATCATCTCAAGGATGATCAATGGAAACATGATCCACCTGAGCTCAATTTCGAGCATCATAGCAAAGGTCTGCTCCTGTAAGTCGCTCTGGATAAGAGCGTCTGCTAAATGACTAAAATGTAAATGTAAATGTAAATGGGTCTGAATACTTATGTAAATAAGGTATTTCTGTTTTTTATTTGTTATAAATTTGCAAACATTTCGAAAAACCTGTTTTCGATTTGTCATTATGGGGTATTGTGTGTAGATTAATGAGGGAAATGTCTTATTTAATCAATTTTAGAATAAGGCTGTAACGTAACAAAATGTGGAAAAAGTCAAGGGGTCTGAATACTTTCCGAATGCACTCTATCCATCAGAGAGAGAGGGTTACAATACAGAATAGATACATGAGAGATGGAAATGGAGATAGAAGGAGAAAGAGAGCGAGAAAAAGCAGAGAAATAAAGAGAGTCATGTAACAGGCATTATGTCACAGCTGAGGTCACCAGATGACAGGAGGGAGGGAGGAATGATCGTGTGTGTGTCAAAGTTTATTGGTCGTGTACACAGTTTTGCAGATGTTATCGCAGGTGCAGCGAAATGCTTATGTTTCTAGCTCTAACAATTCAGCAATACGATAATAATACACACATAATCACCCCCCACATATCAGAATGAGCAATATAACACACATACTGTGTGTGTGTGTGTGTGTGTGTGTGTGTGTGTGTGTGTGTGTGTGTGTGTGTGTGTGTGTGTGTGTGTGTGTGTGTGTGTGTGTGTGTGTCAGACCTGGGCAGAAAATAGTTGTATTTTGTAGTTTATTTGAAAATACCTACTTTAAAAATACTCAAGGTAGTCGAATATAGCCAATTATTAGTTAAATAAACGAAAAAGCAATTATTTCCTTTGATATTCAAATACAGGTTTCAGAAAAACAAATCATATTTTAAAGTATTTTAACATATGCAAGTTATTTGAAAACAAAAATATATATTTATTTGATTGCTGCCAAATATTTGATGAAGAAACAAAAACTACAACAGTTTGTTTAATTAGTCTAAATCAGTGGTCACCAACCTTTTCTGAGTCAAGATCACTTCCTCAGCCGAGATCTACCGCTCAGATTATTTTTTCAGCATGACTTTAAAAATGTAACATTGACCTAATAAAAACAGTTATGTAGGAGAGAGGTTGGGCAGTAGGCCTAATACATTATCACAGCATATTGTCTATAGGCCTGGCCTGACAATATTGTTCTTCTCAGACCATATTACAGGCTATTTCCAAACTCAAGCTTTGATAACAAAATAGATCAGTTGGTGTAGCACTTGAGAGGCACTGCTGAGCTACATTTAAATAATTTGCTTTTTTATTTTACTGGACTGATTGTAGCTGCATCTGATGTTAATGGTGCTGGGACAACTGGGAACTCTGAAAAAAAAAACGATGTCAAATCATAACGTCAGTGATCTTCAAGTCGGAGTATTGGAGCTCTAGAAAGAGGCCCGAGTTCCCGAGTTGGAATTCCGAGTTGGATAACCGTTCAACAAAAAAAATCCCAGTTTGAGCTCGTTTTTATTCGAGTTCCAAGTTGCCGTGAACGCATTGAGGTCGGAAGTCAGAGATTTCCGAGTCCCCAATTATTTTGAACGCGGCAACTGTTTTCCACCCGATGGCGAAACTCGAGTCGCACCGCATCTGCCATGCACACATTCATGTTGTTCCTATGACCAGAGAAAGTGAAATATTCCTCATATTAAAATTGACATGACGAGCTGCTAATAATAATACAAATGCCGGGCTATCGATACACCTGGCTAGGCTACTCAAGCGCGTTTTATGTTTTGTAATAGTGTTGAATAAAACGTGTTGACAGTGCTGAATAAAAAGTTTATCATGAACTCACTCATAAAAACAGCAGCTAATTGCGGTATTCTTTGACAGTCTCTCTGTGGTCATGGTTTTAAAAGTTATTAAATCTTACGTAGGCTAATATCAATCTTTGCTGTGGCCGGGGTCGTGGAAGCTCTGTAGGCAGGTGATTTGAGCTATCCGATTGCCAGCACAGTAGTTTGTATTTTCAGACAAATGAAATGGTTCAAAATGGGAACGCTTTGTTTACCCGGTGCGCAGGGCTTCTGAATCAAGTGCACCTACAGTGCAACACGAATAAAAAACGAAATGTTTGGTGATCGACTAGGAATGCCTTGAAGATGTTTGGTGATCGACTAGGAATGCCTTGAAGATCGACCAGTGTGCGACTGGTCTAAATATAGAGTATGATAATTTAATGTTGCTGAGAATGCTAACAGTAACTGCTAAAATATGTGAGTTAAGTGTCTAAGGGAACTAAATATCCCAAAACTGCCATCTTGAATCAACTACAGCCAAGGTGGGTGGAAAATCATGTTAATTTATATTCTGAGTAAACTATCCCTTTAAACACAGTGTGTGTTTGATATAAAAATAAAGAGAGTTGCACACTCTATATATACATTCCCAGTCATTTTGGGGATATGTTGGGAAGTGTGTGTTTGAAACAAGAACAATCAGATGGACAAAGAGGTTCAAAGTTGTTCTTTTTCTGAGCATCCAACTTTCCGTTTGCAATATTTGCAAATAGCTTTGAATTTCTCTGCAGTATTTTCAGGTATCATAAAATGAATTGCAGCTTTTGATCTTTCCAGTTCCATGTTTAAAGAGTCATACAGTAGTTAGTTGAGCATCACAATTTATTTATACTTATCTGTACAAAATATCATTGGTTGATTGGTTTGACTGGATTATCTACACCTGGAGTCTGTTCAGGAGATTGGAAATGTACAGAATGTTCAGATATAAATGCATTATGTACTTCAAATATGATCTACTGCAAGATAGATTGGAATAGTATAGGAAATTGTGTTTGCTCTATTCATTATATTTCTATCTGCAACATGCAGTTCCTGATACAGCCCTGCCTTTAGTTGAAGGTAGCTAATCCAATAGTTTCTGTTCCAGATACAACCCTACCATTAGTTAAAGGCATCCAATCGTTTTTCAAAAAAGTAGTTACTTTCTGAGATCTGTATTCAAATAGTTTTGAAAAGGTAATCACTTTCTGAGATCTGTATTCAAATAGTTTTGAAAAGGTAATCACTTTCTCAGATCTGTATTCAAATAGTTTTAAAAAGTAGTACTTTTTTGGGATTTGTGTTCAAATAGTTGTAGACACAGTTGTAGTCACACCCCCACTAATAGTTACTTTCCACAAATAATATTTAAAACTATAGTTATCCCAGGTCTGGTGTGTGTGTGTGTGTGTGTATTCAGTCCCTTCTCTCTCTCTGAAGAGTGTAGTCCAGGTTTATAAGCTGCATTAGGAATCCTCTGTTGGGGAAGACCCATCGTTTCTGCTGCACCAGCTGGACGGCTGCCAGCAGAGGATGATGATGATGGATCATGAGGAAGGCTAGGACCAACGCAGCCGACCGACTCACTCCTACAGCACAGTGCACTAACACCTTGCCTAGGGAAGGGAATAACATATACACAGTCACGCATCAGTCACTTACATGCACACAGTCACACACACACACACACAGACACAGACAACACACACAAGCTCACTGTATGGGTCGTGGCTTACCTCCTGACTTTAATGCCTGGTGGATGAACTGAGCAGCAGGGTAAAAGAAAGGTGAGAGGTCAAAGGTGGGTAGGTCATTGGCAGGAACACCGTAATAGCTGACTGTGGTACCGTAGTAATCATCACTGCCTTTGCAACACATCTTACCATGGGCTGCATTCAGGACATGAGTGATGCCCAACCTCCACAGCTCATACTTGTCATGAGACATATACCTAGGAGAAACACACATCATCACACACACACACGCACCAACAGAACATACTGATTCAGCCCATACCTATCATGAGACATGTAGCTGAGACACACAACACACCATCACACACACCACATCCAAACATACGTGGTGTGTAGGTATATGTGTGTGCACGTGCATGCACGTGTGTGTGTGTCTGTGTAGTCTGTGTAATTACAACTGGAAAAGCAGGTGTACTCACATATCCCCCAGGTATAGGTTGGGCCACACCTCGTCTCCGTGCCTACAGGAGCTCTGGGCTGAATGTAACACCTCCTCCAGCTCCTCCAGAGATGGAGGCTCACACACATCTGGCTCACATACACACCTCTGCCCAGAGTCACATGACCCTGACACACAACCCACTAGCTCACCTGTCTTGCCGGACACAGTACCTGAAACTCCCTCACTGGCCATTTTAAAGCCTAAACATAAATAGTGATAGTCCTCAGCTCATACAGGCCTTGAACATAAACAGACCATTGCCTCCTTACTGCAAACTCTCACTAGGCACACTTGTTTTTGCTTGCCTGGTGTGCCAGGTAGGAAGAATTTTCAAGCATGCCTTATGACAGCAAGTGACTGACATGAACAGATGGAACAGTTAGCGGTGTTGACAAAATGTATAACTCCAACTTTATACCCCCTCTAGTGGACATTGAACCACAATGATTTAAATGTCTGCAGCATCGAAGGAAAGAAGAATGCTACTAAACGCTACTAGAACCCTACTAAATCTCTGGCTGCATACAGCAGGATTCACAATTCACAGATCCACACATTTCGGGGTTCTTGAATGAAGAGAGACAGTCTAAAACACATTTAGGCTTGTCAGCAAATATACTGATAACTAGGTTTCCCCTTTTGTCTTTGTTGTCAGTTTTCAGTTTATCTGATGCTTGAGAGTGCCACAATATGTAGAGATGTGCGTCACATGAAAACAAACATGTCTGAATTCAGTGTTTGAGGGTCTACATAACGAAGAAATCAGTACAATTTATCGTATTGGACGTGGGGGAAATTGGAAGAGTAGGGGGAGTCAGAGGAGAAATGTCGTCCCTAGACAAGGCAAGAACTAGATGTATGTCTGGAGAAGTGCAGTACTATCATAAGGAGAGTTATACTTGGAATACGGAGGAGGAAGGGAGGGAAAAAGAGAGGCAGAGGAGGTCTAAGAGAGAGAGGGAGGAAGAGGGTGAGCTTGAGTCAGTTAAAAATGGTGGGGAAAAAGGGAGATGGTTTGTTAAAGAAGAATGGTAGAAAGTGTAAACAGAGTGAGTTGAAGAAATGGAAGTGAATGAGGGCGAAGTATCGGAGGTGGTAGATGTGGTGAAGTTCTCGGAGCCTGAGGTTTGCACCGAGGGTCAGGAGAAAGATGAGTCTGTGACAGTAGGAGTGAAGTTTTTGGAAAAAGTGGAACCTTGTCTTTTGGCTGATCCATTTGTGGTTTCAGGGTGGGTGAAAACAGAGTTGGATGCTATGAAATCAGTGTGGTTAACCAGAAGTGGTCTTGTGACAATTGTTTATATTTCTGCTCGTCAGAGGGAGCAGGCGCTCCACGTTAAACGAATGGGGGCAAGAGATGTGAATTGCTTTGAGCTCAAGAAAAGGGCGCCATTGAAAGGAGTGATTACTTGGGTAGCGGTAAATGTGAAAGCTGACCAACTGAAGAGGAAGATTCCCAGTGTTTGTGATGCTCGTCGTTTGGTGCGACGCAGACCGGGTGGCGTGAGTGGAGAAACAGAAGAGTCATTGTCTGTTCTTTTGAGTTTTGATGTTGAGTCTTTGCCTGACAAAGTGATGTTAGGATATATAAGTTATCAGGTACGAGCTTTTGTGTTGAATACATTATGTTGTTACAGGTGTCAAGCTTATAGGCATGTGGCAGCAGTGTGTAGGAGGGAGGTTCCAAGGTGTGAGAAGTGTGCAGAAAGGCATGAGACAAAGGAATGTGTAGCATTGGGGAAAGTAGTGGTAATTGTAGGGGTGCCCATGGGGCTGTGGATCAGAAATGTCTGGTGCGAGAGAGGCAGGTTGAGGTTTCCAGGGTTAGAGTAGTGCAGAAGTTGTCATATGCTGAGGCAGTGAAGAAAGTAGAGGAAGATGGGTCAAGGGGGAGGGATCCTGAGAGGAATGGTGTGAGTAGTAGAGATGTACAGAGGGATAAACCAACAAGTGATATATGTTTCATTAAGATTGGATTTTTGGCATTTATAGCAATGGTTATCAACTGTACTGCAGGGGTGGAACGTAAGTCGCAGAAAATAGAGGTTGTGGTGGCAGCTGCAGAGAGGTATTTGGGTTTGCGAGACTTGACTTCAGAAGAGTTACAGGGTGTGTTAAGTGGTGGTGTCCCATCCCTTCAGGCTGTAGGCCTGAAGTAGGAATAAATATATTTAAATAGTGGAGTATGGTAGTTTTTTTTGTGAGTGTAGTATTAGATGGTAGGGTATTTGTTGTATTTTTAATTTTTTTAAGCAAGGTATAAGGGAGTAATACTCCAGTCTAGTAGGTGGCGGTAATGCAACATTTATTGGATGCCAACCGCCGTTAAACCTCATCAAAGTAGAAGAACACAATAAGTAGAGGTGGAGCTTGTGACGTCAATAAAAACATTGGCAAAATGGCAGCGACCATGAGCAACGTGGATGAAATTCGGGATAGAGTGATATTAGGTGAATTTGATGTGAAAAATGTAAGTGATTTGAGATTATCCAATAAAATCAGTTACATTCAGATACTGTTTATGCCCGGAGTTTATGTGCAGTTTATATTGGAATTAACGGGTAGCTAGCGTTAGCTGGCTAAACATAATGTGCAGCTAACGCGTTAGCTAACTAGTACGGTAGAAAATACAACCCAGTTCTCACACACAGCATCTTTCTCATGAAATATATGCTGTAATTAATACGCCAATACATGAGTTGATCTGCGACGCATAAATACTTTTAAATTGTTCAAATGTTTCCAGGTTCATACAACAGATTACCCTGGTAATTATCCAGGCTACGATGACACATGGAATTTGAAGAAATTTCAAAAGGTATCTAATTTAGCTAGCTAATATACAGTATCGTCTTAGCTAACTATTATCATGCTGGTCTAATTTTACATTCAGGTTTGTTAAATGGAATGCCCATAATACACTTTTCGTCAATATTATGTATCTATTGCAGAATTTCAGAATCGACGTGGTGCAAATGGATGAGACTTCTCTGGAGTTCGACATGGTGGGCATAGATGCTGCTATCGCCAATTCCTTTCGAAGGATATTACTAGCAGAGGTAACTACTACTCAAATAGCGTCCTGGCAATAAAAACATATAATAATAAGTGCTGTTTATGTTTTTGGATGGTACATAGCAAAATAACATGGATAAATTCACCCTCTCCTAGGTCCCCACTATGGCTGTTGAGAAGGTGTTCATTTACAACAACACATCTATCATTCAGGATGAGATCCTTGCCCACAGGCTGGGCTTGATCCCTATCAAGGCTGACCCACGACTGTTTGAGTACAGAAACGCAGGTACATTTATGCTGCATACCTTGCTTCCTCTGACAATGGCAACACAAAGTTCCAAGACTTGTCTTGTAGAGGGTCACCGCCAACTACATCAGTTTTGTTTAAGGCATTTGTGCTTTTCTCAGGGGACGAAGAAGGCACAGAAATCGACACAATTCAACTTCAACTGAAGATCAAATGCACCAGGAACCCCAGAGCCACCAAAGACTCCGCTGACCCCCGGGAACTTTACCTGAATCACATGGGTAGGTAAGGCCGTGGACTAGGGCCAGCTCCAGGCATAAACCGTCGCTTAGGGCTTCTGGACGCTAAGGGGCCCCATTAAGAAGTCGGTCGTAGTCTCAATTTACTGTTGAGTTAGAATATTAGAATACACAAGGTGCACGTTTGAAATGTGGTTGTGCATCAGCAGTTTTTATCTTGTTTTGTCAGTCACTGACAGTCACTCAATTAGCCCATGTCAGCTAACTATTTTTAGATTGGTAAGTTAGTCTTGCCAGTTATCTAAACTTGTAGTAATCATTGTCGAATACTGCCCCTCCAGGGGGCCTCCATTGATTTTGTTAGTCACTCTCATATGATTAACATGGCATAAGTCATGGCAGTGTGTAGAATTGCAGGACATTTGCTTTAAAACTGCAAAAATGTATCTGCCCCATGGTGAAATTAGTAGAATTATATTACATTGATTATACAATTTCAAAATTTTTTCATCTCAGTGTACTCTAAGGACATGAAGTGGGCTCCTATTGGGAACCAAGCTGATGTGTTTGCAGATGCCAACATCGGTCCAGTACATGGGGATATCCTTCTGGCACAGCTCCGGCCTGGACAGGAGCTGGATATAGTCATGCACTGTGTGAAAGGCATTGGTGAGAGGACTTTCTCTGCAAAATGTTATAATGTCTGCACAATGGCAATCTCAGATTACAGTTGAACCTTTCTCAAGCCCTGTAACAAGTAAATTCTGATATCCGTCCGAATGGACGGTGGGTGGGTAAACACTTGTCCAAAATAAAAATAGTTTACGTTCATTTACCATCGCTACACCATTGCCTGTAGCTACAGCTCTCCGTCATATTCTGTTGAAATTAGTGATCTTTCTTATCTGATGGCAATGCTATGCTCTATGTTTCCAGGTCAAGACCACGCCAAGTTTTCACCTGTGGCTACAGCCAGTTACAGACTCCTTCCTGAGATCACACTAATGGAAACAGTGGAGGGGGAGAAAGCGGAGCGACTAAAACGCTGCTTCTCACCTGGAGTCATTGAAGTGGAGAACCATGGGGGTAAAACAGGAGCTATAACATTTTGAAGCATTGTCCTTAGCACATACTGAAATTGTTATTTTACTGTAGCTATTTAAGTTCCATGTAGTTAATAATTCTGTATTCTGTCCCAGGAAAGGTTGTTGCCAAGGTGGTGAACAGTCGCTTAGATACATGCAGTAGGGAGGTTCTCCGACATGATGACCTCAAGAACGCTGTGAAGCTTGCAAGAGTGCGGGACCATTTTATCTGTATGTACCCAGTGAATTTAGAAATCACTATGTTGCTGCTTGGCGAATTTGTGAAATGTACAGTCATAATGTCTAGGAGTACATAACCCATACAGTGTTTCCCCCTATAATGTTTTTTGCAAGGGTTGCGGGAAGGGGGTTGGGGGAATTCAGACTTTAGATTTTGTCAATTTTTTTTATAGATTAATTTGTAGGTTCACACTTTTAAAAACTATTTTTTTTTACATAGAACATCCAGTTTTGTTGTGTATCTATGTACATAAGAATGTTAAAACCACATCAGGAGACCGCTTTTGAGGTCTGGGAAACATTAACAAAATTTTAACTTTTGCTTTAGTTACCCTTTAATTCAAGTGCACATGAACAGATCTTTTTTATTTGGTTAGCTGTGTGTCTAGCACACGTGATGGAGTTTGCAAAACAAATGCCCACTGGATTGATGCAAATAATAATGATACCATTCTGCCAGGTAGGTAGGCATAGGTTACTTTGTAGCTAGTTAACATTTTATTGAGAAGGTTTTTGGGAAAGCCTTTCCATCTATCAGAAGACTGCTCAATAGCATTGCTATATTATTTTCCTGTTCCATATTTTGTTGTGGCGGCAACAATTTAGCTCCGCCGCTGCTAAATGAATACAGGGTAAACACTGATCATATTGTGTTGCACTGTAGAAGCTAATTGTTTTTCCTCAGTGATTCTAGTACTTTATTTGTTTAGTATAGTTTGGTATTCTGTGCATGAGCACTGTCATCAATCCTGTGTTTCCTCTTTCCCATACAGTTTCTGTAGAATCCACTGGCATCCTGGCACCTGATGTCCTTGTAACAGAGGCCATCAAAGTTCTCATGACCAAGTGTCGGAGATTCCTCAATGAGCTCGACTCCACAGAGATGGAATAAGAGCTATTAAGTTGGACCAAATGTAAATACCCACTACAGGGGTTGGATATATATATATGTGTGTGTTGAGCCGGTGTGCAACATGCTTTGGACAATAGAATACAACACCAGTTAGAATAGCAGAAACACTGTGAATGCTGAGGATGCTTTTATTGTTTTATTACCATCCTAGAGTAACTTGACTTTGGATTCCTTTGTTCAAATATGTACCCAGCATGAGACTTTGTCATCCTCAAATAGTTGTGCTACTTATATATTTTGTATTCTGATTCATGCTTATGTCACTTGCAAATCCTTATGGCTCACCCATGTCATTGGCCCATTTGTAGAATTCTGCCTGAATTCTGCCCTTTTGAGTATAACCTTTATAAGAAAAATGGGTTGAAGTCTTTACTGAATGAAGAGGGATTTAGAACTCATTTGTCCAAGACAGGATCGCCTGTTCTCAGCCAGGTGCACAGTTATGTGTTGTGAAATGTATGGACTTGTTTCATGAAACAATAAAGGTAAAGCATATTACATTTTACTCTAAATACTGATGTTGCGACATTTGTGCGCACTTTAGATTTTAGCAGATGCTCTTATCCAGTGCGAATTACAGGAGCAATTAAGGTTAAGGGCCTTGCTCAAGGGCACATCAACAGATTTTTCACGTAGTCTGCTCGGGAAGTTGAACCAGTGACCTTTCAGTTACTGGCCCAACGCTGTTAAGTGCTAGGCTACCTGCTTAGACTTTCTTTCCCCCCTCTGTGCTATTCCAAAGTGAGTTTGTTATTTAAAGGTACAGTATCTTGAACCTATACTGAACAAAAATATAAACGCAACATGCAACAATTTCACTGAGTTATAGTTCATATGAGGAAATCTGTCAATCCAGTAGGCCCTAATCTATGGATTTCACATGATTGGGAATACAGATATGCATCTGTTGGTCACAGATACCTTTAAAAAAAAAAGGGCCTCACAGTAGGTCAAGTCATTTTTGTGCATTCAAATTGCCATCGATAAAATGCAATTGTTCTTGTCCGTAGCTTATGTTCTTGCCCATACCATAACTCCAGCGCCACCATGGGGCATGCTGTTCACAACGTTGACATCAGCAACCTGCTCGCACACACGACGCCATACACGTAGTCTGCGGTTGTGAGGCCGGTTGGATATACTGCCAAATTCTCTAAAACGACGGAGGTGGCTTATGGTAGAGAAATGAACATTCAATTCTCTAGCAACAGCTCTGGTGGGCATTCCTGCAGTCAGCATGCCAATTGCACGCTCCCTCAAAACTTGAGACATCTGTAGCATTGTGTTGTGACAAAACATTTTAGAGTGGCCTTTTATTGTCCCCAGCACAAGGTGCACCTGTGTAATGATCAAGCTGTTTAATCAGATTCTTTACATGCCACACCTGTCTGTCAGGTGGATGGATTATGTTGGCAAAGGAGAAATGCTCACTAACGGATGTAAACAAATTTGTGCACAACATTTTAGAGAATAGCTTTTTGTGCATATGGTACATTTCTGGGATCTTTTATTTCAGCTCATGAAACATGGGACCAACATTTTACATGTTGCGTTTATCATTTTTTCTCAGTGTAGATATGACATACACTAGCCCATATGAGTTTTTGATGTCAGCTGCCTTGCATTACTTTTGCAGACTTCCACAGCCCAAAATGATTGGGCAACGCAGTTTGATGATTGCTTCTTGATCAATATCAGTTGTAGCCAATGAGATGACTAAGGTATAAATCAGGTTGAATGAATGGTAGGTACATTATAATTGTGACACTTTAACACAGGGCTGGACACAGCTCTTTGTAGGGATGAGTAGGTTAATGCAAAATAGGCTCTTGCTACTTTCTGTACTTAAATTAATTGAAATAGTTGTGTACAATCTTGCGATACTTTTTCGAGCACAGTTCAGAGAGAACTTTCCATATAACTCGTCATTTCCCCTATCTAACAAATGAAGATGGCGGCCGTTGTAGAAAGAGTAGAGGGAGGTTTTGGAGTCCTGGATTGTGACTCGGTGTCACCGAGATTGTCTACACCACCACCGGATCAACCACACCAGAACAACCCGCTCTTAGGACTTCCCATTGTGGCGATTGAAACTATTCTCAATTTCCTGTCTTACGACGAAATCAGCCTGCTACGCTTGGTGAGAGAACAAAAACAAACCACGAAGACAATACCAATGCAGCGTCTGGCTAATCTAGCTCCTGCTAGCTATTTAACGAAAGCTAGTAGTAGCGTAGCTAGTTAGCTAAATCATAACATGCCTTGATTCACTGCTTATATGTTAGAAACGTGGATGTCTTTCCCACTACTACTACTACTAATAATAATAATAGCTAAAGGTACCGAAATATAGCTAACAAGGGCTAGCTAGCTAGCTTAGTTTAATAAATCGGTTTTTATTTCAACAACACCGAGCTGTTCCATTCCCAGTTGCTTTAGCCAGATGGGGCCCTGGCCTGGCTGGAACTCATGGCGAACTTGTCAAATTCAAACTAACACATAGGTATATTGTTTGTATAAAACGGTACTGATTTTATTTTCTAGCTAAATGCGTTACCTAGCTACTTAGTATGTTTCAAGATTTAGCAAAAACTGTTCGAGTGTAATTCTTAATGTCCACACTAAGTATTTGAAGTTGGGTTTTATTTCTGCGTTCCACCAAGTACAGTATGACTTTCCTTTAATTTACTTGTATCCTCTGGAAGACAGTGGTGTAATAGGCCAATTGACATCTAGAGGGAGGTGTTGGAACGATCTGTGTGGATGGGGGAGGAGTAGGCTATTTCAGCTCTGCCTCAGTCCATTTCGATCTGGCCATTGTAGAGTCCCAGTCGACATTAAAGTGGAACTGACAGAATTTTAGCAACATTAAATCTTATTAAAATCTGTTCATATACACCCCCAGGAATAATACGACACTTTTAAAAACATTTTCTGACAAGCGATCACTTAGATATGGTAATTTTAATACATTCTTAGAATGTTTGGGAATTACGTATATGCAAAGGCATTTGTGAGAATTCTATAGTAATATAGTGTGAAAGCGGCCTTGTGTTTGGACAATTAATAGACACTGCAGTAAATAAAGCCTAATAAAAACATCTGTCTCGTCCAGGACTGGCGTCTACGCAGACCGGTGCACCATAGCCAATCAGAGCTACAGTAGGCCTTTATGCAAACAAGACATTGCCACACAGGCCTGCCATTATTCACTTTGAACTGGACTGTGTGTTTACAGGCAGTTGTAACAGCTGACTTTAGCTCAATAGAACGCATTCACCAAAAGCCACAAAATACACCTGAATGTATTTCTGCAAATATGTCAATACCATGGGATTTCTCCTTTACATTTGGGAACTTTAGTCCTATTGATCAAACAACCATGAGAAGTTAGGCTCTCTCTCCCTCAGTTATGCACAAGATCAACAACTAATGCTAGCCAGAGCAAGATGAGCTAAAATATAACAAAATAACATTAGATAAACCCTCTCAAACATTTTCAGCTATTTGGCTGTCAAAATTGCACTGAGAAATGATGGGGAATTGTAGCCTACTTGTCCTTCTGCAGCTTGCCTGCCTGGCTGAAGTTGGCTAGCTAGCTACTTCCAGACACAAATAAGAGAACACCTCACTCTGACCATTTTACTCACCCTAGCAGAGCTGGTTAGCTAGGCTGTTTACATGTTATCTAGAGTGTTCGTGATTGTTTTGCCTACGTTTACTGACACTGGTCATATTCAGCGTGTGTTGCGTAAATTAATCAGCTATTCTGCACTCTGGCACACAGACGAGTGCTCTGAAATTGGAGTAGTGAATTTGGAGGCAGCAAACAATGTACCAGGCTTGCTGTGATTTATAACCTGATAGCAATATTTTAGGACTACCAAGAAATGTATTAGAATTACATTAATCATGCAATGCCTTAGTGTACATCATGGAATGTTGAGTCAAATAGAACCTATTTATAAAACCTGTTATAAAGTTGGTTTTGTAGCATAAACTGGGAATTTTATATTTGTCCGTTTTCATATCTGCAAAGTAGTTAAAATGCTGTCAGTTCCACTTTAAGGCGTCCACATGCTTCCCCCGAAACAGTTCAAAAGAGTTTGTGCATATATTATGACAACGTTTTGGACTTCGGTAAGGGTTTTTTCGGCTGTTCGGGCACGTTACTACTTTTTTCATGATGGTGCTAGACAGCCATATGAGTGCTAGCTACAGAACATAAAGCTAGCCCAACCTGGACCCTGGGGTAGACGTAACATAGTAAATGGAAATCTGGGACACTCCAATTAGGATATGTTTAGTATGCTATGTCTTAATTTGTGGATGTCCATCATCCATTTCGTACAAAATGTTACATTTTAATTTGTTGTGGCGAGTGCAAGCTAGGTGGCTAACGCTAGCTGGGTTAGGAGTTAAGTTAAAGGGTTAGGGGAAGGGTTAGCTAACATGCAAAGTAGCTAAAAAGTAGTAAGTAGTTGCTAAAGTTGTCTGTGGTGAGATTCGAACACGCAACCTTTGGGTTGCTAGATGTTCGTGTTATATGCTCACCCATCCAACTTGACCAACCACCCTACTTTCGTTTTTGCCTTAAGTAACCTGTCATATGTAACATTATACTAATTTGAGTGTCCCAGATTTACATTTACTATGTTACGTCTAGTCTGAGACCAGGCTGGCTAGCCAAAACCAACAACACAAATAAATTGACTATTCAGCTACAAGTAGTGAGTGGGGTTAAACGGACTATACTAAACAAGTAAAATGTCTTGCCTTTGATTTTTGTTGTTTGTTTTTAATGATTTCTTCACACGGCTACGCCTACGTGTAGCCTACTTAGACAACCGGATCCCACATTTCCCACTCTCCCATGCTGAATAGCCTGAAGCCACATGGCTCTTCTCACAGGCTCTATTTCCCTACATGGAGCATTGCGGCATTTTTGATCTGGTTACATGTACATTGAACAACACAGCAGCTTTTCGGCATGTTTTATTTCTGTATACAAATCCATAACGAAGTTGACCCTTCAATGGGAAAGAATGTTTGTTTTCCCCAATTTGTGGGTGTGTCAAGGGGAATTATTTGTTATGACGAATATCACTCTTGCGTATACTAAAGACAGTACAGTATGATGGGCAGAAACTGCTCTCCAATGGAAATCCCAGATCACACTTGTAGTCGCTGTCATGGCGACTGGTAGCTAGCTCGTGTAGAAACACGTCATCGGTCTAACTCGTCTCGCGCGAACTCCGGTGCAGCCGTGCGCTCCTTCCAAAGTTGTTTAAATGTGTAGTTTGCACTTTCACGAGGGTAAGTAATAACATTCAATTTCGGAGAGGGGTGGAGAGGAGGATCTGATGGTTCACAGTATCAAAGCAGCAGACAGGTCTAGAGGACAAGAGCAGAGGAGAGAGGAGTTAGCTTTAGCAGTGCGGAGAGTCTCTGTGACACAGAGAAGAGCAGTCTCAGTTGAATGACCAGTCCTGAAACCTGATTGGTTTGGATCAAGAAGGTCATTCTGAGAGAGATAGCAAGAGAGTTGGCTAAAGACGGCACGCTCAATAGTTTTGGAAAGAAAAGAAAGAAGGGATACTGGTCTGTAGTTGTTGACATCAGTGGGGTCGAGTGTTGGTTTTTTGAGAAGGGGAGTAACTCTCGCTCTCTTGAAGACGGAAGGGACATGGCCAGCGGTCAAGGATGAGTTGATCAGCGAGGTGAGGTAGGGGAGAAGGTCACCGGAGATGGTCTGGAGAAGGGAGGAGGGGATGGGGGTCAAGCGGGCAGGTTGTTGGGCGGCCTGCAGTCACAAGTCGCAGGATCTTATCTGGAGAGAGAGGGGAGAAAGAAGTCAAAGCATAGGGTAGGGCAGTGTGAGCAGGACCAGCAGTGTCATTAGACTTAACAAACAAGGATCGGATGTCGTCAACCTTCTTTTCAAAGTGGTTGACGAAGTCATCCACAGAGAGAGAGGAGGGGGGGGGGGGGGGGAGGGAGGATTCAGGAGGGAGGAAAATGTGGCAAAGAGCTTCCTAGGGTTAGAGGCAGATGCTTGGAATTTAGAGTGGTAGAAGGTGGCCTTAGCAGCAGAAACAGATGAAGAAAATGTAGAGAGGAGGGAGTGAAAAGATGCCAGGTCGGCAGGGAATTTAGTTTTCTTCCATTTCCGCTCCGCTGCCCGGAGCTTTGAACTGGACTGTGTGTTTACAGGCAGTTGTAACAGCTGACTTTAGCTCAATAGAACGCATTCACCAAAAGCCACAAAATACACCTGAATGTATTTCTGCAAATATGTCAATACCATGGGATTTCTCCTTTACATTTGGGAACTTTAGTCCTATTGATCAAACAACCATGAGAAGTTAGGCTCTCTCTCCCTCAGTTATGCACAAGATCAACAACTAATGCTAGCCAGAGCAAGATGAGCTAAAATATAACAAAATAACATTAGATAAACCCTCTCAAACATTTTCAGCTATTTGGCTGTCAAAATTGCACTGAGAAATGATGGGGAATTGTAGCCTACTTGTCCTTCTGCAGCTTGCCTGCCTGGCTGAAGTTGGCTAGCTAGCTACTTCCAGACACAAATAAGAGAACACCTCACTCTGACCATTTTACTCACCCTAGCAGAGCTGGTTAGCTAGGCTGTTTACATGTTATCTAGAGTGTTCGTGATTGTTTTGCCTACGTTTACTGACACTGGTCATATTCAGCGTGTGTTGCGTAAATTAATCAGCTATTCTGCACTCTGGCACACAGACGAGTGCTCTGAAATTGGAGTAGTGAATTTGGAGGCAGCAAACAATGTACCAGGCTTGCTGTGATTTATAACCTGATAGCAATATTTTTAGGACTACCAAGAAATGTATTGGAATTACATTAATCATGCAATGCCTTAGTGTACATCATGGAATGTTGAGTCAAATAGAACCTATTTATAAAACCTGTTATAAAGTTGGTTTTGTAGCATAAACTGGGAATTTTATATTTGTCCGTTTTCATATCTGCAAAGTAGTTAAAATGCTGTCAGTTCCACTTTAAGGCGTCCACATGCTTCCCCCGAAACAGTTCAAAAGAGTTTGTGCATATATTATGACAACGTTTTGGACTTCGGTAAGGGTTTTTTCGGCTGTTCAGGCACGTTACTACTTATTTTTTTCATGATGGTGCTAGACAGCCATATGAGTGCTAGCTACAGAACATAAAGCTAGCCCAACCTGGACCCTGGGGTAGACGTAACATAGTAAATGGAAATCTGGGACACTCCAATTAGGATATGTTTAGTATGCTATGTCTTAATTTGTGGATGTCCATCATCCATTTCGTACAAAATGTTACATTTTAATTTGTTGTGGCGAGTGCAAGCTAGGTGGCTAACGCTAGCTGGGTTAGGAGTTAAGTTAAAGGGTTAGGGGAAGGGTTAGCTAACATGCAAAGTAGCTAAAAAGTAGTAAGTAGTTGCTAAAGTTGTCTGGTGAGATTCGAACACGCAACCTTTGGGTTGCTAGATGTTCGCGTTATATGCTCACCCATCCAACTTGACCAACCACCCTACTTTCGTTTTTGCCTTAAGTAACCTGTCATATGTAACATTATACTAATTTGAGTGTCCCAGATTTACATTTACTATGTTACGTCTAGTCTGAGACCAGGCTGGCTAGCCAAAACTAACAACACAAATAAATTGACTATTCAGCTACAAGTAGTGAGTGGGGTTAAACGGACTATACTAAACAAGTAAAATGTCTTACCTTTGATTTTTGTTGTTTGTTTTTAATGATTTCCTCACACGGCTACGCCTACGTGTAGCCTACTTAGACACCGGATCCCCACATTTCCCACTCTCCCATGCTGAATAGCCTGAAGCCACATGGCTCTTCTCACAGGCTCTATTTCCCTACATGGGAGCATTGCGGCATTTTTGATCTGGTTACATGTACATTGAACAACACAGCAGCTTTTCGGCATGTTTTATTTCTGTATAACAAATCCATAACGAAGTTGACCCTTCAATGGGAAAGAATGTTTGTTTTCCCCAATTTGTGGGTGTGGTCAAGGGGAATTATTTGTTATGACGAATATCAACTCTTGCGTATACTAAAGACAGTACAGTATGATGGGCAGAAACTGCTTCTCCAATGGAAATCCCAGATCACACTTGTAGTCGCTGTCATGGTGACTGGCTAGCTAGGCTCGTGTAGAAACACGTCATCGGGTCTAACGGTCGTCTCGCGCCGAACTACGTGTGTGCAGGCCGTGCGCTCCTTCGGCAAAGTTGTTTTTAACAAGTGTCAGTTTGTCACTTTCACGAGGGTAGAGTAATAACATGTTCAACTACTTACGCTGGCTCGCATCTAGTTTGTGCCTTTTTAGATTTAGAGAAATAACTACTAAGGAAGAATTTCACTTCTCTCATTGGGCTTGTTCAACAGTGCAGGCGACTGCCGACTGACTGATCTACAAATCACCTTGCATCATAAATAACGACTTGTTATTTGTAAGTCAGTCACAATTTACTCATGATTCATCACGGTTTTGATGCTCTCGAACATGGCCACAGATTTCTCAAACCCCAAACCTGGGTCTGTTTCGCAAGCGTTCCTTGCGATGTTATGTTTCTGGGTTTAGAAACTCTGTGGCCATACCCATCACCCCACTGGTGCACCCTGCAGTGCAAACTGTCACTTTTTAGTTTGAGCATCACAGGCTGTACGTGTCAAGCGAGGGGTTGGAGGAAGTGTTATAAAAGACATGAGTCTCAATAGAAGCTACTCAACCATACCTTCCCGACTCTGTTCTTTTCCCAGGTATGCAAGCGCATGGACATGATCAATCAGCGCATGCTGAACCAAGGCTTCCTCAAGGTGGAGCGTTACCACAGCCTGTGCCAGAGGCAGGTCAAAGCCCAGCTTCCAAGGTCGGTCTCAACACCACTGGAGGGAGGGATTTCTAGAGTAGATGATGTGTATGCTATTTGAATATAGGTGTTTTTGCTTGGCCTGTGTCCTGAGGCAAATCAATGAGTAAAAGTAGGCCTACTGCATCCAGGCAATGAAGCCAGAAGTGTTTGAGCTCTGTAGGAACTAGGGCTGTCCCTGACTAAAAAGATCTTGGTCGACCGAGAGTACAGTAGTCTGTTCTTTCGACCAATCGATTGGTATACATTTTAAAACGTGTATTTTTCCATATATAAACACACCCTATGTTTGATCAAAATCAACTATGTAGGTTGCTGAGCTTGTCTAATGCTTTAAGCACTGCGATAAAAAAATTAAGACACACACACATTAGTAGAGAGGGAGCCAGAGATCAGTATAGCCTAACCAGAAGAGAGAACTTGTTTCCACCACTCCCCTCCTCCTCCCACTGCTGCTGGCCTTCGCAGCCATTAAGCTCCTTAAGTTGCCTATAATAGGCTACACCAGCGGTCGGCAACCTTTTCCATTTGGAGTGCCAAGTTATCGTATTTCTACTGATCTGCGTGCCAGTTATGATTTTCATATGCACATTTTCATTTCCTTTTAATAGTCTTCATATCTCAATGTCACGGAAATGTGTTCAGAAATAAATATACACGATCTGTAAAAACCAGCTCCTCCCTCAACAGAGATCGATCATCTTGAAAAACTAAAGCAGATACAGTGAGGGGGAAAAAGGGATTTGATCCCCTGCTTGGTTTTGTACGTTTGCCCACTGACAAAGACATGATCAGTCTATAATTTTAATGGTAGATTTATTTGAACAGTGAGAGACAGAATAACAACAAAAAAAACTTAAACGCATGTCAAAAGTTATAAATTTATTTTCTTTTTAATGAGTCATGCAAAACATGACTTAGTACTTGGTGGCAAAACCCTTGTTGGCAATCAGAGGTCAGATGTTTCTTGTAGTTGGCCACCAGGTTTGCACACATCTCAGGAGGGATTTTGTCCCACTCCTTGCAGATCTTCTCCAAGTCATTAAGGTTTCGAGGCTGACGTTTGGCAACTCAAACCTTCAGCTCAGTCCACAGATTTTCTATGGGATTAAGGTCTGGAGACTGGCTAGGCCACTCCAGGACCTTAATGTGCTTCTTCTTGAGCCACTCCTTTGTTGCCTTGGCCGTGTGTTTTGGGTCATTGTCATGCTGGAATACCCATCCACGACCCATTTTCAATGCCCTGGCTGAGGGAAGGAGGTTCTCTACCCAATATTTGACGGTACATGGTACAAGTTGTCCTGTCCCCTTAGCAGAAAAACACCCCCAAAGCATAATGTTTCTACCTCCATGTTTGACGGTGGGGATGGTGTTCTTGGGGTCATAGGCAGCATTCCTCTTCCTCCAAACACGTTGAGTTGATGCCAAAGAGCTCGATTTTGGTCTCATCTGAACACAACACTTTCACCCAGTTCTCCTCTGAATCATTCAGATGTTCATTGGCAAACTTCAGACTGGCCTGTATATGTGCTTTCTTGAGCAGGGGGACTTTGCGGGCGCTGCAGGATTTGTCCTTCACGATGTAGTGTGTGACCAATTGTTTTCTTGGTGACTATGGTCCCAGCTGCCTTGAGATCATTGACAAGATCCTCCCGTGTAGTTCTGGGCTGATTCCTCACCGTTCTCATGATCATTGCAACTCCACGAGGTGATCTTGCATGGAGCCCCAGGCCGAGGGAGATTGACAGTTCTTTTGTATTTCTTCCATTTGCGAATAATCGCACAAACTGTTGTCACCTTCTCACCAAGCTGCTTGGCGATGGTCTTGTAGCCCATTCCAGCCTTGTCCCTGACATCCTTGGAGAGCTTTGTTCTTGGCCATGATGGAGAGTTTGGAATTTGATTGCTTCTGTGGACAGGTGTCTTTTTTATACAGGTAACGAGCTGAGATTAGGAGCACACTCTTAAAGGGAGTGCTCCTAATCTCAGTTTGTTACCTGTATAAAGACACCTGGGAGCCAGAAATCTTTCTGATAACATTTGACATGTGTTTTTCTGGATTTTTGTAGTTGTTATTCTGTCTCTCACTGTTCAAATAAACCTACCATTAAAATTATAGACTGATCATTTCTTTGTCAGTGGGCAAACGTACAAAATCAGCAGGGAATCAAATACTTTTTTCCCCTCACTGTAGATTGCTACGGCCCACCACCTACTGTAGAAAATAGTTTTACTGGAGTTGTGTAGCCTACCGGAGTGGACGCAACTCATATCCAACTGCTGATTTGAGATGTTCAATCATTCAGACTTAATTTAGATTGTTCAGATTGATCGTAAGAAATCGTTTTGGTAATTTATTTTAACAGTGTGTACAGTGGGGGGAAAAAAGTATTTAGTCAGCCACCAATTGTGCAAGTTCTCCCACTTAAAAAGATGAGAGAGGCCTGTAATTTTCATCATAGGTACACGTCAACTATGACAGACAAATTGCGAATTTTTTCCAGAAAATCACATTGTAGGATTTTTAATGAATTTATTTGCAAATTGGGGTGGAAAATAAGTATTTGGTCACCTACAAACAAGCAAGATTTCTGGCTCTCACAGACCTGTAACTTCTTCTTTAAGAGGCTCCTCTGTCCTCCACTCGTTACCTGTGTTAATGGCACCTGTTTGAACTTGTTATCAGTATAAAAGACACCTGTCCACAACCTCAAACAGTCACACTCCAAACTCCACTATGGCCAAGACCAAAGAGCTGTCAAAGGACACCAGAAACAAAATTGTAGACCTGCACCAGGCTGGGAAGACTGAATCTGCAATAGGTAAGCAGCTTGGTTTGAAGAAATCAACTGTGGGCGCAATTATTAGGAAATGGAAGACATACAAGACCACTGATAATCTCCCTCGATCTGGGGCTCCACGCAAGATCTCACCCCGTGGGGTCAAAATGATCACAAGAACGGTGAGCAAAAATCTCAGAACCACACGGGGGGACCTAGTGAATGACCTGCAGAGAGCTGGGACCAAAGTAACAAAGCCTACCATCAGTAACACACTACGCTGCCAGGGACTCCGTGTAAAGGAAAGAATGAATGGGGCCATGTATCGTGAGATTTTGAGTGAAAACCTCCTTCCATCAGCAAGGGCATTGAAGATGAAACGTGGCTGGGTCTTTCAGCATGACAATGATCCCAAACACACCGCCCGGGCAACGAAGGAGTGGCTTCGTAAGAAGCATTTCAAGGTCCTGGAGTGGCCTAGCCAGTCTCCAGATCTCAACCCCATATAAAATCTTTGGAGGGAGTTGAAAGTCAGTGTTGCCCAGCGACAGCCCCAAAACATCACTGCTCTAGAGGAGATCTGCATGGAGGAATGGGCCAAAATACCAGCAACAGTGTGTGAAAACCTTGTGAAGACTTACAGAAAACGTTTGACCTGTGTCATTGCCAACAAAGGGTATATAACAAAGTATTGAGAGACTTTTGTTATTGACCAAATACTTATTTTCCACCATAATTTGCAAATAATTCATAAAAAATCCTACAATGTGATTTTCTGGATTTTTTCCAATCGGCAGCAGATATTCATTTTAAAATGGAAAATGAATGTGTATATGCAACAACAACAAATTATCGCATCAATTTGTTCCCCTAATTAAACTAAAACGTATCGTTCATGTATCGGCACCCATGCAATTCTAGATGTGTATCGAATCGTTCATGAAAGGAGAGATCCAAATCCCTAGGTCCATCATGTTTTCCTTGTTACAATAAGAAAGAGATGCATTGTTGGTAATTAAAGAAAATAAATAATCTGAGACATCAACTTGTGAATGATTAGCCTAAATTATAGCCTATTCACCCCATTGTGTCAGCAGCACTAGTGCATTACGAAAGTGACAACCTCGATGCTATGAAACACATTCACAATACTTATTTTTTTATGCCTTTTTTATTTTTTTGTCATATCCAATTACAATCTTGTCACATCGCTGCAACTCCCCAACGGGCTCGGACGAGTCATGCGTCCTCCGAAACAGCCCGCCAAACCGTGCTCCTTAACACCTGCCCGCTTACCCGGAAGCCAGCTGCACCAATGTGTCGGAGGAAACACTGTTCAACTGATTACCAAAGTCAGCCTGCAGGCGCATGGCCTGCCACAAGGAGTCACTAGAGCGCGATGAGCCAAGTAAAGCACCCTCCCCGGACGACGCTGGACCAATTGTGCGCCGCCCTATGAGACTCCCAGTCACAGCCGGTTGTGACACAGCCTGGGCTCGAACCCGGGTCTGTAGTGACGTCTTAGACCGCTGTGCCACTCGGGAGGCCTGTACTTTGTTATTTTATTCCAAACCATTCAGCATCTTCACTTTTTGATGATCCCTGGAAAGTTATCATTCAATCATGATAAATGTTACTTGGATCATAAAGGTATCTGTCATCTTGTCCTATGTGTGTATTTGGTGTGCTTTGTCTTGTGGCAGGCGGGAGTCGGAGCGGAGGAACCACTCACTGGCCCGTCATGCTGACATCCTGGCTGCAGTAGAAACGCGCCTCTCGCTACTCAACATGACCTTCATGAAATATGTGGACTCCAGTCTTTGCTGCTTCATCCCTGGCAAGGTGCCTAGCTTCATCCTCTTTAATTTACCAGCCACTACCTACCTGTCACATCTGTACATTAGATGCTAATTTCTGTTATTTTATGGTGTTTTGCGTTGACTAACTTTAGAGCTTCTCCCATTTGGCCAGATGGCACTCCTGCTCTTAGCTTGACTATAGTTTAGAAAAATGATCTGAATAAATGATCAAAGCAGAATTAAAATTAAGTATTCTGAATAAGTGGAAGACCAGTTCCATCCCAATATGAACATGCTAGCTACTTCCACTAACTTGCAAAGTCTTGGCCTCAACAACATTACACAATCAATCAATCAATCAATTTTATTTTATATAGCCCTTCTTACATCAGCTAATATCTCGAAGTGCTGTACAGAAACCCAGCCTAAAACCCCAAACAGCTAGTAATGCAGGTGTAGAAGCACGCACACACCAGGATCACATTCTTAACATTGTAAGCCCAAGCGTACAATTTATTCTAAGCTTAAGTTTCCCGGCATGTGACTGTCTTTCCCCAAGGTGATTGATGAGATCTACCGTGTGCTGCGCTATGTGAACTCTACACGTGCGCCCCAGCGGGCTCATGAGGTGCTGCAAGAGCTGCGGGACATCTCTTCCATGGCCATGGAGTACTTTGATGAGAAGATCGTCCCCATCCTGAAGAAGAGGCTTCCCGGGGCCGACCTGTCAGGGCGCCTCATCGGATCTGCCCCAGGTAATGGACAACTACACTGACCTTTTTATGGCCAATAAAGATTCTGTAATGTACAGATGCCCATGTTACTTAATATTAGTCAAATGAACATGAATATCTTTTATTGTTCAACTTGGCTACCAATTTAAGATTGTACCTAAGATCATCACCCTCAGTATTCTCTCTGCCTACCCCAGTGGCCGGACCCTCCACCTCCCTGACCACTATGTCCCTGCTGGCTAAGAACACGCCGTCACGCTCTGAGATGACCAAGGTGCAGCAGCAGGTGAAGGTGAACGGGGCGTCCATGACGGTGCTGCGGCGGGAGAATCAGGAGGTGCGCGTCAAACAGCTGGAGCAGCAAAAGCAGCTGCAGGACCAGGAGCAGAAGCTGCTGGAGCAGACGCAGGTTATCGGGGAGCAGAACGCCCGGCTGGCTGAGCTGGAGCACAAGCTCAGGGAACTGATGGACAGTGCGGTGGGGGGAGGGGCCAGGCCGGCTGTAGCCGCCTCCACCTCAGCAGCTTCTTCCTCGACAGGCTCCGCTGCCGTCACCACAACGTCTTCTGCTGCCGTCGCCACGGCAACCAGTGCCATGGCCGCAGCGGTGGAGACGGCAGGCAGCCTGCCCCTGAAACGCACCAGGAAGAGCTCAGACCTCCTGCGCCAGTCCAAACGCCTGCGCAGCAAGAAATAAGACAATGTTTTTTTTGTCTGATTGCATCTCCAACCATGTCCTGTGACATTATTTTAATTCTCATTGTCTGGAATGTCTTTAGTAGAGGGGGGGGTCATGGTAAAGGAGTCAGGAGTTGCTCTGTTTCCCTGGCGTTGAATTCCCCTTGTCATGTCCCTCTCAAATGCATACAGAAACTACACCATGGACATCTTTGTGCTGATTAGGCCAGCATATTTGGGCAAGAGTGCTAGTAGTCTCCTCAGTTTAACCACAGACTCTTAAAGCCACTAAGAATTTGCACACTAGTTGACAAGGTGCGAGTTAGGTTGAAAAATCTAAAACACTTAATCTTGGTATTCAGTCTTTCTTGTCCATCAACAAAAGTCAATCCAGATTAGGTTGTTGGCTCCTAGTGGGGAGAGAGCCTCATCTTTGCAGTGAGGCAAGAAATAATGAGTGCTTTCTAATATGCATTGCATAACTACTGATGAGGTGGACTTTGGTTGTTAAAAATGCATTTGAAATATTGGCTAGATGAGACCACTCAGGATAAAGGATGTTTAAATTCTGCCTCTGAGCCAATTTTGTCCTTATTGATGCAAATACAATTTTTAACTTAAGAAGTCATTTTCTTATTGTTTTGTTCTGTGTTGGCCAGGTGGGATTGCTTAATATCCTTGTTCAATATTCTTTATTTTTCTGAGACGGGCTAAATTAAAGGGTTTGACTCCTGCATCGAGAGGATTATATTACATTACTTGCACTTCCCATCCCAAATTTGGTGCAATTAAAATTAAAGGAAGTTATTCTCTATTTCCCAAAAATTAGAATTTAATTTATTTTAGGCAGGTCCTGGGAGATTACGCATCCTCATGAAAAGGACAGTTTTACGATTCCTATTGTAATGAACGGTGTTCAGCTAGTATTAGTGAAATGACACTTTTGATTTTAAATGCATTTCTGTGTTCCACAAGAAGATGCAGTCTTTGGCACTCACTGTTGAGTTGAAGACAGGCAGGCTAATGTGGCGATTGATCATGTAGCTGAGGGAGCGTCTCTAAAGCCATGGTGCCTGGGAAATTAAGGAAAGGGACTTGTTTTACATTGGGCAATGGCAGGACGGCTATAGGATCCCACAAAAGACTTAGTTTTCAGAGATCAATCATTTCCAAAAAAAAGTTCTGACACAATCTTCCTTCAGGGCTAGAGTAATTTTGCTCCATCGTTTATCTATACGTTTTGGAAATGGCTGTCATTGATCAAATACTAGTCTGAGTAAAATTTGATTTATATGCAGTCAAGTATCTGTCTTTGGGGAAGATTTATCAAAGCTTTATATAAGAGGTAGAAATGACCCTCTGTATTGATTGACCAGACTGGTGATTCTGTCTTGGAGGTCAAAGGTAAATTTGCCACTTTGAAAATGTGTTTAATCAGTTGTGCAGTTGTCATCTAGACCTACTTCTCTGTCTACTGATCTTATTGTTATGCTATCTTTGTACACAAAGTTTAGTCCCATGTAACACCAAGTTCATCTGTTCAAGAAATATTCAGATTTGCCAAATGACTGCCGTGCAACTACAGTAGAGGTTGACCAATGTAAGCCCTACTGAAGATAACTTTTAGTAGAACTCCTTTCACAATTTAAAAGGATTTAAAGTCTTAGGTTTCTCCCTAATTGCTATAAAAACACTCTTGCACAACAGCACCCTTCCCATTTCAAGATCTCTGCACACAGTTCTCTTTTTAGCTTGTGAGCCCGTAATGCGGCTGGAATTTCGTTAAGAATGACATAACATTTTACATTTAGCAGACGCTCTTATCCAGAGCGACTTACAGTTAAGTGAGTGCATACATTTTCAAATGACCTCAACCACTTGTGGCATGAAATCTGTGTGGCATACTGGGAATCGCAGTACACAACTGAGTGGACTCTAGGTGGCATACTGGGAATCGCAGTACACAACTGAGTGGACTCTAGCGTGTATTCTAAACGCACTGGGCAGGAAACACAAGAATATGTTATCTAGTGGCTTAATTTGAGAGACTGCGTCTCAGTTTAGAAATGAGTGTACTGTAAACTTCATGTACTACAAAAGTGTAGATTGTGGATTATTATGTATAAGAAAAGTGTAAATTGGCCAAACTGTATAGGTTGTTGCACACTTTACCGTTACAAGTACAAATGAAGCATTAAAATAAGTTAACCTATCGAGATATTGGTGAGCGTGTGTTTGTGAGAATAGTTTTGCAATACTTTTTTTTTTTTTCACTGTAAGATGTGTTGATTCCTGACTGCATTACGTGACAAAGCGTGATACATATGTGACCTATTCCTCCGGTATGGTTCCTCCTATCCAAAACATTTTCATAAAAGGTAGCTGTAGTATGAGATCTAGTATCAGGCCTTTACCTGTTGCAGATGGATTGGTCTGGCTTGTTTCCATTCCACTTCTGATCAAATATCTGTTTTTCTCAACTACAGGTACCAAACTCTGTTACCTGGGTCGTCCTGCACCAGACAGGCCATGCTGGAGTTCACCTCTATGCAGATGGTTTAGAACCCCAAGCACACTGCATCATGTGAAACTCAAGTCACTACAGTTACCCCCTCCCAACAAAGTGACTCAGCCGAACTGCAGATCAGTTTCATCAATACAAAAGACTGCATGAAAGGAAATGCCTGTCCTGCTGTGGGTATGATTGAGGAACAATTTCACAAAACGTAATGCCTTGGCTGATTTATGTATTTTTTTTTGTTTAACAGAATAGCTTTCATAATACATTGTCTATTTATTGTATTAGAATGCCAATGTTTATCCTTTTTACTGTAACCAATCCGTGGATTGGGTCAAGAGGACATGGTCTTCAGCACTTGTTTTTTAAAACTGCTGTGCAACTCCTATAGAGCCTTATGTAACAGCGACATGGATTAATTTACATGCCAGAGCAAGTTCCTGTTACAGAATTCAAAGAAATGTACATTGCGATAAGAAACAATGCTGTATGTTGGTTTAGCAACCCTGTAGCTATTTGGTTACCGGTGACCAAATATAATTCAGATACATGTATCCTCAGTATCCTTTTGGACAAAACAGGAAATGTTGACTCACTTTGCAGTGTGGAAGCCAACTGCAGACTGGATTATCTCCGGAAGAAAAACATGATCTTTAAGATCAGTAGCTAGCCATTGCAGTGCATATATTTTTTATGTTCACTAATGTGATGCATTCTGTGAGCATTTAGTGAATTCATCATTCTGTATTTACTTGGGCTAGGTTTAAACATTTGTATGGACCACTATTCAGTTGTTGTAATAAAATAAGATGCCATTGGCACCATTTTGGCATACTTTAAAGGTCTAATGCAGCCTCTATATAATTTCTGGGTAACAATTAAGTACCTTACTGTGATTGTTTTCAATTTAAATGGTAAAAAATACATTGCTTCTTGGCAAGGGCTATTTCTCAAGCAATAATTTTTCCAAGACTGTCGGAGTGGTCTGAGTGGGGAGGGGAACATTTGCTGTTAAAGAGCGCAATAGTAATGGCACTAACATGGTTCGTTGGACAAAGCCTATGGGGTAATGTATTTATTTGATAAACTGTAAATAAGGTCTGTGGTAAACAGGGTAAGGAGATCTTATACATTTGTTCTATGAGATAATCCTCATCAGCTAACGTAACTTGTGAATTTAAGAGTTTTATGTAATCAGAAAATTGCATAACACAAAGGCTTCACAATTCATAAAGGTCATTAACTGAATGATTTTAAACTCAGACCTTATTTTCAGCCTTTATCCCAAAACCCTATTCTTTCCCCATAGGAATGGCTGAACCAACCAGAGGTATAGTGGGGAGAACAAGTATTTGATACACTGCCGATTTTGCAGGTTTTCCTACTTACAAAGCATGTAGAGGTCTGTAATTTTTATCATAGGTACACTTCAACTGTGAGAGACGGAATCTAGAAAGTCACATTGTATGATTTTTAAGTAATTAATTTGCATGTTATTGCATGACATAAGTATTTGATCACCTACCAACCAGTAAGAATTCCGGCTCTCACAGACCTGTTAGTTTTTCTTTAAGAAGCCCTCCTGTTCTCCACTCATTACCTGTATTAACTGCACCTGTTTGAACTCATTACCTGTATAAAAGACACCTGTCCACACACTCAATCAAACAGACTCCAACCTCTCCACAATGGCCAAGACCAGAGAGCTGTGTAAGGACATCAGGGATAAAATTGTAGACCTGCACAAGGCTTGGGATGGGCTACAGGACAATAGGCAAGCAGCTTGGTGAGAAGGCAACAACTATTGGCGCAATTATTAGAAAATGGAAGCAGTTCAAGATGACGGTCAATCACCCTCGGTCTGGGGCTCCATGCAAGATCTCACCTCGTGGGGCATCAATGATCATGAGGAAGGTGAGGGATCAGCCCAGAACTACACGGCAGGACCTGGTCAATGACCTGAAGAAACCATTAGTAACACACTACGCCGTCATGGATTAAAATCCTGCAGCGCACGCAAGGTCCCCCTGCTCAAGCCAGCGCATGTCCAGGCCCATCTGAAGTTTGCCAGGAATGGGAGAAGGTCATGTGGTCTGATGAGACAAAAATAGAGCTTTTTGGTCTAAACTCCACTCGCCGTGTTTGGAGGAAGAAGAAGGATGAGTACAACCCCAAGAACACCATCCCAACCGTGCATGGAGGTGGAAACATCATTCTTTGGGGATGCTTTTCTGCAAAGGGGACAGGACGACTGCACCGTATTGAGGGGAGGATGGATGAGGCCATGTATCGCGAGATCTTGGCCAACAACCTCCTTCCCTCAGTAAGAGCATTGAAGATGGGTCGTGGCTGGGTCTTCCAGCATGACAACGACCCGAAACACACAGCCAGGGCAACTAAGGAGTGGCTCCGTAAGAAGCATCTCAAGGTTCTGGAGTGGCCTAGCCAGTCTCCAGACCTGAACCCAATAGAAAATATTTGGAGGGAGCTGAAAGTCCGTATTGCCCAGCGACAGCCCCGAAACCTGAAGGATCTGGAGAAGGTCTGTATGGAGGAGTGGGCCAAAATCCCTGCTGCAGTGTGTGCAAACCTGGTCAAGACCTACAGGAAACGTATGATCTCTGTAATTGCAAACAAAGGTTTCTGTACCAAATATTAAGTTCTGCTTTTCTGATGTATCAAATACTTATGTCATGCAATAATTTGCAAATAAATTCATTAAAAATCCTACAATGTGATTTTCTGGATTTTTTTTTCTCATTTTGTCTGTCATAGTTGACGTGTACCTATGATGAAAATTACAGGCCTCTCTCATCTTTTTAAGTGGGAGAACTTGCACAATTGGTGGCTGGACTAAATACTTTTTTGTAAATATATTTAATCAATTTTGAATTCAGGCTTTAACGACAAAATGTGGAATCAAGGGGTATGAACACAGTATATAGTCGTGTGAGTGTGCATAGAGTCAGCGCAAGATGGGGTCTGTGTAGATAGTCTGGGTAACCATTTAATTACCTATTTAGCAATCTTATGGCTATTTAGCGGTCTTATTTCTTGGGGGTAGAAGCTGTCTCGGAGCCTTTTGGTCCGAAAGCCGATGCTCCAGTACCGTTTGCCGGATGGAACAGTCTATGGCTTGGGTGGCTGGAGTCTTCAGCAATTTTCGAGCCTTCCGCTGACACCACGGTCCTGGATGGCAGGGAGCTTGGCCCCAGCGATGTACTGGGCTGAACACACCACACTCTGTAGCGCTTTGCGGTTGAGGGCGGTGCATTTGCCATACCAAGCTGTGATGCAGCCAGTCAAGATGCTCTTGATGTTACAGCTGTAGAACTTTGAGGATCTGAAGGTCCCTGACAAATCTTTTCAGTCTCCTGAAGGGGAAGAGGCGCTGTCGTGCCCTCTTCACGACTTAGCGGGTGTGTGTGGACCATGTTAAGTCCTTAGTGATGTGGACGCCAAGGAACTGGAAGCTCTCGATCCGCTCCACTAAAAGCCCTGTCGATGTGGATGGGGGCATGTTCTCCCCTCTTTCTCCTGTAGTCAATCAGCTCCTCGGTCTTACTGACGTTGAGGTAGAGGTTGTTGTCTTGGCACCACACTGCCAAGTCTCTGACCTCCTTTCTGTAGGCTGTGTCATCGTTGTCGGAGATCAGGCTACCACTGTAGTGTCGTCAGCAAACTTGATGATGGTGTTGGAGTCGTGCTATTCAACTACATTTACATTTTTACATTTTAGTCATTAGCAGACACTCTTATCCAGAGCGACTTACAGTTAGTGAGTGCATACATGTTTCATACTGGCCCCGTATGAAACGAACCACAACCTGCCGTTGAAGCCATGCTCTACCAAATGAGTACGGAGGCTACAACTAGTCAAGGCTTGATGTTTAGTCGACAAGTAACTTGAAGTTGAATCATGTGCTAGCTCTGGAATATATTAATAACATTATTTGTAAGATGATAGCACCTTGTGATAATTAGCATGCCCACAGATTTCGTAGACTGTTTTACCACCTTTACAAGTCTCAAAATTAACTTACAAACAAGAAATCAAGAACGGCGGGATGAATCTGATTATCAACCCAAATAGCATTGTAGCAGTAATCAAATGCAATCTATACGCATGTACACCGGGAGAATTTACATATAATCAGCTAAGAATATGTACAGCAGTAGATACAGTGGGGAAAAACAGTATTTAGTCAGCCACCAATTGTGCAAGTTCTCCCACTTAAAAAGATGAGAGAGGCCTGTAATTTTCATCATAGGTACACGTCAACTATGACAGACAAATTGAGAAAAA